AGGGGTTTTCAGCCTCAAAAGCCTGCTCAGCCTTTGTTCTCATTTGATGGATGCACAGCCCACCGGGCAGATGAGGGGCGAAGGAACGCGGGTGCGGAGGGAAGTGCACTTCATCAAGTGCAGCCTGAGATCCCCAGGGGGAGGAAAGTGATGGATGGTTGCCCCGGGGAGGACCTCACCAGCGGATCCATGGCAGCATCCTCTAAACCGGGGCTGGTGTTCCCTAGCGACCCGGAGCAGGCTCTCCCCTGCTTCCTCCTGCCTCCCTGCCACCTGAGAGACACGTCACAGGAAAGGAGGGCGACCATGCACAGCGGGTGTTGAGAAAAGGAAACCATACAAACAGATACCCCTCGGGAAGTCAGGACGTTGGGTCCACTGCGAGTTGCCTGAGAGGCGGCGTCTGATCACGCAGGCTGGGTCTTCCAGCGCCTCCGTTGCAGGTAGGAGGGGGCAGGGGGAAAGTCTGGAGCACAGCAGGTGTGCTGTTTGCTGGCGAATGAATGAGTGGGTTCCCAGCAGAGGCCAAGTCTCGGGTGAGCAGCTGGCTTTCATAAGGACCTGTCACTCACTGATGCACATTCTCCAGAGATGCCCTCAAAGTCAGCAGCGGGTACCGAGCAGCAGAGCTCCCAGCAGCTTCCAGAAGGCAGCCAGGCTCCAGCTCCATGCGCACAGCATTCTGGGTGGTACTGCAGGTGTCCCAGAGTGAGGAGCCCCAAGCCCCCCTCTAGCTGGCTCCTCCTCCTCCCTGAGCTTATCTGCTCCAGCCCAATGGCCAGGCCATGCCCATCTCGCCCCCAAGGTCCCAGCTTGCCTCCACCCCTGCAACCCAGTCCTCAAGGCCCAGCCACTCCCCTGGGTTCCTCTGCAGGTCCTCAGACAAAGTCCCAACCAGCCCTGCCCTTCAGGGACGGTGTCCTGTACAGTCTCCCTGCGCTGTGAGTACAGACTGCCCCTCATAGGAGACGGACACAGGCTGACGGGCCACCACCATCTCCAGCTTCTCTGTCCACGGTAGGGGAGGGGCAGAGCCCAGACAGGTAGTTCCACCCCGCCTCACCCTCTGCTGCCCCCAGCCTGGGCGGTGCGCACAGACCCTGGACTGGCGCTCCCTCCCCACCCAGCCCATCTCAGCGGCAAGCAGGCAGGAGCCACTCTGGCTGCTAGCTAACCTAGAGTGACTCATGCCCTTGGGAGGCTCTGAGAGCTCCCCTGCCCCACCCCCCAGGTCCCCACGTGCTGCATCTGGAGCCAAACTCTGGCTTCAAACCTAATTGCCTTCCTGGGGGACCCAACAGCTCTTCCTCACTCAGGTCTCTGCAGTTTGCATGTCCACTTTTTAAACAAAGCTGTTCAGAATCTCCCAGGATTAGGCGATGGAAAATTGCAAGCGCAGACCTCTACCGCACTTTCCCTAAAACAAAACGCATCATTCTATACGTTCACATCCCCTCATTCCAACCCAGCCCGCCACCCTGCTCCCCCGAGTCCCTCCCTCTACAGACCCAGGCCCAGGTCGGGGCTGACGATTTTAGAGGGCAGGATCCGCTCCCTCTGTCCCCTACGCCCCCGGGGCTTGCTGGAGAGCATCAGGGCCCTAAGCCTCAGCCACCACACTGGGGCAGGTGGCCAGGCTCCAGTTTTACAGCCCCTTCTAAGGAGGGGGCATTCATATCACAGTTCTACACAGATCTACTGAAAGGGCTCAGGTGGGCCTCTCGGCTGAGACCCAGAACAATGCAGAACTCCCTCCCACACAAACCCACTTGGGCAAACACGCTAGGACAAGCACACACGCTCACAGACACACACACACTAGTGCACGGCCACACCCTGTTCTAACCTCGCTCGGAGCACCCCCGGAGACCACTCCCCTCGCCTGGCCACCGCTCTCAGAGGCCCTCTCCCTACTCTGAACCTGACACCCTCTCCTCCCTGGGGGAGGGTGGAGCACTGGATGTGCTGGGTGCCCACACAGATACACGGCTGGGGAAGGCTGGCCCAGGCAGAGGGGGATGTTGTTTGGGTTCTACAACAATGTATTTGCTCTAATTTTTCTTTTTCGCCTGAGGAAAGGCAGTCTTTCGAATCTGCACAAAGGTGCTGTGAGGGTTAGCAGTGGCCCTGTGATGCCAAGGCCAGGACCAGGAACAGGCCAAGCTTCTACACTGGAGGCCGCAGGACCCTCCCGGCCCTCCTACAGGGACAGCCAAGCCTCCCCGACATGGGGTGGTCCAGGGGGCCAGCTGAGCTGCCTGACTCTTCAGACGCCCTGGATGGTTCTCCACCCCCATTCTTTCCAATTTCCATCACAGGGTCAGATATTTTAATAAATGTTGACATTGGGCATAGAAATGGTCACGAGACTCTCACAAAGTAAGTATTCAAAGTACAATGAATTTCCAGGCACTGGAAAGGGAACGGGAAGGAAGGCAGGAGGGGAGGGGCATGTAAACTCAAAAGCACAGACAGTGTTGAACAGTAGAGTTTCAAAACCCATCTCCATGTGGCTGCTGCATGGGGACTGAGGCGCACGTGCTGACACGTGAGCCCGCAGAGGCGCTCCTTCCGGTGGCCCACCCTCAGGAGCCCAGCGGGTCAGGCTGGGTTCGGGCTGTGTTTCTGGTTCAGAGGAGGGCAGGTGGAGGCTGGCCTCCCTCAGGCAGGTATGCTCACCTCCCCACGCCGGCGCTCTAACTGAAGCTGAAATTATTAACTTGTAGGGCTGGAGTCCAGCAACAGAGCCTCTCATTCCAAAATGCGTGGGTCTGCGGCCGGAGGCAGTTCAAATGAAAGGGCAGCACGGGTGCCAGCACAGGACGGGTCAGGCAGCAAGACGGGCCACTAAGCAGACAGGCGACCATCCCTGTAAACAGCCTCCGCCCCGGCCCGGCCCCCATCAGCCATCAGAGCTCCCGTTTACTCATTAACTTCCTCCTCCGTCCACCTCTAGGCCAGAGGCAGAGAGGGCACCTGGAGAGGAGGAGGGCTCTGGGAACCCCGAGGCCTGGAAGCCAAGACCTAGGCAGGGCCCTGGTCAACTCAGAAGCCACCTCTACCAGAGTGAGGAGGCCCCTGAGCAACGGAGGCAAGGAAACCCGCCTAAAGAAAGTCTAACCAGGATGAGGCACCTCCACCGGCCAGCTGGTCATCGTTCCAGAGGCCCAAATGCATGATGAGAAGTGGCAAAACCAAAGCCTTCTCAGGCCGAAGCCCTAGGAGAGGATAAGCCTCCTGTCTGGAACGGCCTTCTCTCAGGACTCCCCTACTCTGCCTTCAACACAGACGTGCAGAAGGACAGTCATCTGGCTAGAAACGACTGGTGATGCCAGGGCCATCGGTCCCCCGCCCCAGGCTGTGCATCCTACCGGAAGCTCCCCAGCACGTTCTGCCCCAGGGGTACCCACCAGGGCAGGCCCCATGGAAGCTCTGTGACCTGGCAGGATAGGCGTGAGCAGCCTGGATGCGTGGAGCCACGAGGACCCTCACCCACTTGTCGTCGAGTCCTTCTGTCCCCGACACCTGATCATCAGCAGGCTGGTTTCCCTCAGCATGGCCTCGTGCCCGGCTGCACAGCCAGTCCGCCTGTAGGCGGGGCCCCAAATCCCAGGGCAGCGAGATTGAAAGCAGACACCCCACCATGCCCTGGGGAGGAGGGGACAAGACTTAAAATGGGAGCCCCGCACCTCAGCTGCAGCTCCAGGAGGGACTCGGGGCGGATGCCCAGGAGGACAAGGGCGGCCGCAGGCCTGGTGGGAAGGGAGTCAGACGGCCTAAGTTTGCGCCCACTGGCACTCACAATGCAGTCTTAGGCAAGTCTCTGACCCACGCTCCACCTCAGCTCCTGCCACTGTGACCGGGGAGAAATGATAGCAACCTCAGAGGACTGTTGTGAAAGTTAAATCAGATTTAAATGAAGATTTAACACAATTTAAATTCAATTCGTTGTGGAAATATGTAAGAAGTCTGAAACTGAGGCCAAGGATGACAATGACACATATGAATACTGACACATGAGTATAATGTACAAAGCATGACAGGACAAGAAGGGCTCTGTGGCCGCCCCTGGGACACCCAACAAGCTCTGCTGGAACTCACAGACAAGGGGATCCCTTGGCAAGAAAAGCCAGCAGCCAGCACCGTCCTGCTCACCACACCCACCAGCACACACAGGTTCTTGGAAGGTAAGAGATTTCCAAATCACCCAGCAGGAGGAAGCCCCGGGAAACATCCCACATCACGTAAGACATAAAAGGCCCAGGTCTGCAAGCAGCACCCCGGAACCTGAATCAGCCCCGCCACACGGCAGTCCTGCCCAGGTAGGCTCCGCAGGGGCCTCCATGCGCAGGTGCTGCGATCAGCAAGACCCTGGGAGCCCGCAGGGCAGAGATGAGGACCCCGGCGAGGGTCGCGGCAGAGGGCGCCCACCCGGAGCGCCAGGGGCATCCCTGCAGCAGCCAGTATAGAGGAGCACACGGGTGCGACTGGCCAGATTCCCACAGTCCTTCCTGGATGGCGGGCGGGAGGTCCTCCACCCTGGCTCCCAAGCCTGCTGGGAGGAGGCAGGAAACAGGAAGCTGCAGGCCTCTCCTACTTCCCCGGGCTTCCTCCCTACAATCAGGGTGGTTAAAAGAAATTAAGAATACTGCCAGCCACCATTCAGAAACAGTGGGGAGGGGGAGGTCTCTCCTGGCTCCCAAAGCCAAGTTTAAGGAGCTTATCAATTCAAACTCAAGAATTAGGGAGGAAGAGGGGAGGGTATAGTGCCGTGGTAGTATGTGAAAGCATGCTCCAGGTCGCGGGTTCAATCCTTAGTACCTCCATTAAAAAATAAATAAAATTAGGGCGGAGAAACATCTAGAAAATGTCAACATGCCGATCTATCCTCTCCCCTCCAAGCCACAGTTAAAGAGCAAGACAGACTCTGGCTTTGGACAGTTTATAACACATGGATTTTCAGAGGCCCCACCACACAATGGATTCAGACCGACACCGACCTGCGTTCTTTGAATTTCCTGTGAATACCTTGGGTGTTGACAGATCAGAGAAGACCCCAGGATGCTCCTGCAGGAAAATAAAACATTAGGTCATCCCTTCACTGTGAGGCCATTCCAGGGCGACCTCGGTTCAGCCATGGCCACTCTTTGGGCTGCAGTCTCCCACCAAGAACCCATTCATTCAACAGATGGAAAAGACCAGAAAGGGCACACGGGTTCCAGCTGCTGTGCCAGTTCCACTCGGCTGGCGCTGTGTGCTAAAGCACCAGGAGAGAGCCCCAGCCCTGGCTCGCGGGAAGGACGGCTGTGATAGATTAGTGATGTCTGCTGTGTGCCGTTCTAGAAGGAACAGTATCTGTGCCACACAACTGCCACCCCTGGGGTAGACCCTTGGCATCCAAGGATTTAATGTGTGCAATTTGATCACTCACAAATGAGACAAAGTTTCAAGATACATAAAAGTCTGTAACTTTACTGAGACACGGGTTTGACTCACACACCCTCTGAGGCCGAGGTAAAGGAACAGGCCACCTTGTTGCTTCCATCCCTGCCACATCCAAAGTTACTCGTGGGGAGTAATAAAAACTGGTGGGAAATGGCCACCAAGTGAGAGATAAAACTGCAGCAGCAGTTGAAAGGGTAGTTAACTTGGGGTGTGAAGATATATACAAGAAACATTTGGCCCTCTGCGGAAACATGACTCCAGAGAAAGCCAGGCCCATGTACAAATCATGCTGTGGATGCAGTTTAGGACTCTAGAAGGTGCAAGATTCAGTTCTTTTTTGTGGGGGGAAGGGGTGGCAAAACGGACCTTTTATTGTTGAGATATAACTGACATAGAACATTCTATTAGTTTCCACAATATTTGCATAGACTATTAAGTGATCACCACGGTAAGGCTAGTTAGCATCCATCAATATCCAGAGTCACAAAATCTCTCTTGTGATGGGAACTTTGAAGATCTACGCTCTGAGCAATGCTCAAGTTCACAGTAGGGCATGACTGTTAACTCCAGTCACCACGTGGTACATCACACACCCTCAGGACAGAGAACGTTAGGATCCACTCTGAGCCTACTCCCCGCCTCTCAGCATTGAGTGCTGGGCCAAGGAGAACACAGAGACAGACAGAATCCATGCCCAGAGGGGCTTCCAATCTAGTTGGAGAAACCACGATGTCCCCTGGAAACAGCAAGTGGCCCTGCCTCAGTCCTCCAGTCCCCTCTGCATCCTTTCCTCACCGCCCCCATCCAGCCAAGCCGCAAATGACCTCAGTCCTGCTTCCAAAATGTCTCAGCTGCCCAGCCACTCTCCCCACCATGATCTCCTCTCTTCACGGACCCCATACTCACCCTGCTTAGGCCTATCCCAGCCTCTGCGACCCCTACTCAAAAACCTGCAAAGTTCCCAGGACCCCAAGGCTGACCGCAGTCTCCCAGCACCAGCAGGCAGCACGTGAGAGGCATGTAACTCCTCTTCAAAGAATGGATGGGTGGAGGGATGAAATTCCTTGGCTGGACATTTAAAGTCACCCACAGTACGGTCTCTATCTACCTGCCCAGCCTTTCCTCTCTCTGGTTCCTCCCACACAACCCACTCACCGGCCCAACTGCACTAGTCATGCACCCCAACACTCTCCCAGCGCCCTTCCTCCCTTCTGTCGAAATGCAAGCCGCTCTTCAAAGTTCGCATCAAACACCTCTTGCGGTATAAAGTGTTCCTCTGGAATCAGGCTGACTGAACCCCCTGTTTGAACCCACATATTAGAGGCCATTCATCTCATATTTTGAATTGTCATTTTCCGAAGCCCTTTCTTAACCCTTTACTGCATTATATGCCTCATGAAGACAAGGATCCTTACCGTTTTGATTTTTGCACCATCAGAACTTGGCAGACTCTTGTACCAAGACACACATACTAGGTGTTCGTGGACATCACTGAAGGGTCACCCCACGCAGGGTGGGAAAGCCAGGAGAGACGAAGATGTAAAATGCCACAGGCTCTCCAAGGAAAAGGGGTTCTTCTGGTATGGGCGGCCAGGGAAGACTCCAAGAAGGAGCTCAGACATGAGCAGCATGTTGAAAGAGGGTAGGAGAGAGTGGGGAGGAGCCTTCCATGAAGATGGAACAGTAGGCACTAAGGGACAAAGATGGAATGAGCTGAGTGGGCCTGGGAGATGAGTCTGGCTGGACCAAGGTTTCCTAGGGAAAGAAGCTGGGGATTAGGCAAGACAGGCAGGCCAGGAGAGGGCAGGAGGGACGTGGAGGGCTAGGCTAAGGCTCCCAGAGGAGATCCAAGCCCTCGTCGTCCGTGGGATGACCGCCACCGCAGGCCTGGGCCTTAGTGGGAGAAGAAGTCCTGTCCTCTCTGGTTCTGAGCACATCAGCCTAGTCCCCTCTGCGAGGTTATAAATAACAGGCATTGCTGACTGCACACCTGCTGCGCACGAGGCCCTAAGCTACATGCTTCCCATATGTTATCTCACTGCTCCTTCCAACAGCCTCGAGAGCTTGGTATTGTTATCCTCATTTTGCAAGCAGGAAGCGAAAGCTAAAAGAGGTGAAGGCACTTGGCCGAGGCCTCCCTGTCTCACCCGTGCACTGAACAATCTGCCGGCAGCACAGTTATATTCCCTGCAATGAGGACTGGCCCTCCCGCCACCGACCCAGCGTCTCCTCATCCACTCCTCCAGGGCCACACTGATTAAGCACATAGTAGGAGCTTGAGAAAGCACACCGAACAGAATGGAGGCTGCCAGGGGCTGCAGGGGAGGGGGACATGGGGAGCTGTCTGACGGGTGGACAGTTTCAGTTTTGCCAATGGAAAAGATCTGGGGATCAGCTGCAGGACAGTGTGAGTAGACTTGACATAACTGAACTGTACGTTTAAAAAAGGTGACAATGGTAATTTTTGTTATGTGCTTTTTAACCACAATTAAACATTTTAAAGTTAAAACACACTTAGTAACTGACTTATTGGCTGCTCATAGCATCTTACGCTGTTAATTATCCAATGCTGAAAGAGACTCTAGAAGCATTTTAACACAATAGCCCTCCAAAACAGAGAGCTGGAGAGGGGAGGTGACTTGCACAATTAGGTGACATTAGGGCTGAGATCGGAGCCCGGGTCCCCACAGGCTCAACAGTAGAGAACGGCAGGGGCAGCCTAGGCAGGACAGAAGACACAGCACAAGAGGTCGGAAGCCACAGGTTCAAACCCTGCTTCTTCTACCTGTGAGTTCTGTGACCTCAGAAGTCATTTATTCTCTCTGAGCCTCATTTTCCTAACTTTAAGAAGGCCATTAAAAATAACATCTGCTTACTGGGGAGGATATAGCTCACTGGTAGAGTGCGTGTTCAGCACGTACAGGGTCCTGGGTTCAATTTCCAGTACCTCCGACTAAATAAGTGCCTCCCCCTCCCACCAAAATAACATATGCTTTACAAGATTATGTGTGACATCCAGTCAACGTGCAGCAAAAGCACTTGGTCAACTACAAATTACTTTATAAACATGAATTGTTGTTACGAATATTAAATATCTGTTCATAGGTTTAAAGATTAATATCTGCTTGAGATTAACATATATAAAAGAGATAACCAGCAAGGGCCTACTGTATAACACAGGGAACTATAGTCAATATCTTGTAATAAAGTATAATGGAAAATAATTGAAAAAGAATAGATTTACATATATATGTAAAACTGGAATCACTTTGTTGTACCTCTGACACTAACACAACGTTGTAAATCAACTATACTTCAACTGAAAAAAAAAGATTAAAATCTGATTGAATCAGACAAAAAAACCCTCCCTCTCCATTCTGGTCTACTCTCAGCTGTTCTGGGCCTTGCACACAGCAGGTCTTCAATAAGTAAGCACAGAATTGAATTAATCCTTCAAGTTTTATCTACCCCAGTCTTATTCCCTCCTTCACCCCCAACCCACAGCCCGGCTGCACCGGCCATGCCAGGACCAGGCGGAGGGCAGGAAGCTTGTGTGAAAGTCTGCCTCACGGGCTGCATTCCTTAGCTAAATATAAATAATTTGTCCAGTCCATTGTTTGACATTATCCATAATACCTCTCCTCCCCTTCCCATTACTTACAATGACAAGCTGACTGCACATCTTTATAGCAGAACATACGTACAAAACATTCTCTATGGCTATTTTTAGTAAAGAGAGGGAAGCTGGCTGATATACAGGGATCAGAGCATGAGTCCTCAGTTTTCTCCACTAGTCCAGGAAAGCTTCCTGGAGGAGGAAATACCTGAGTCACCCTAGGGAAAGGAACAGCTGCCGGTCAGAAGGGCACGCTCACATAATGAGTTTGGTTCTCCCAACCAAAGGAAGGTGAACACTGGGGCCTTATCCTTGTTTGGGGGATGGGGAGAAAAGGTCCACCCAGCCCAGGGGATCCCAGACTTCCCCAGTGCCTCAAACTTCCCCACCACCACAGGCATTTGGGAAAGAGGTAGCAAAGGGACCAGTATCTTTTTCAGGGCTAGTTCTGAAATACATAAGCACAAATACTGCTCTCGGTAAGGAGCTGGTTTCTTGTTTGGACTTTTTTTTTTAAACCACAAAAAAGTTTTTTAAAGTCCCAAACTTGGATGCACAGATGGACTACATCTCCGACCCCGGGGCGTGCCAAAGCCCTGTCACTCTGATGCAGATCTGCCAGCGGTGGCCCAAGGAGTGGCCAGGGGTGCTGGGGGCTGCGGACAGCCTCCCAGCCCTGCTGAGGCCCCGCCCTCCCCGGGGGCGCTGTGTGGACCACCCCAAGCCGGTCCACTGGCTCCCACAGTCAGAAACCCTTGACAGCTCCGGGGCTCTCCCTTTGGGCTGCATCCTACAGACCCCCCATCCCTTCGCCTGGGACTCCGCCGTCCACTCCCTTAGCCCCGTTCCCGAAAGGTCTTCCTCGCAGCCTCTCCCCTTGCAGACCCCTCTTCGGCCCGTCACCGGGCCCCGGCACTCTCCTTCTCCTCCCGGCGGCTTCCCGGCCCCTCACCGGGCGCGGACCCCATCCCTCCCTCAGCTCGACCACTGCCGCCCCCCGACACCCCCTCCCGGGGGGCGCCTCAGGCCGCTCGCCCCTCTGGGAACCCGGTCAGGGGGCTTGCCGGCCCG